GGTGAGCCACTGAAGCAGCACTGGCTCGTGGATCCGGGCGCTCAACCCAAACTGGGCCTCTCCTGCCCTACTTGCCCAAAAGCAACTGCGGCTCGGCATTTTACTCTTTCGGTACAAAGCAAACAAATATAAAAAGGAACTGGAAAGCGGTAACTGTCCTTGAGAACAGAGAATCATTTTGCAGTACCTAGAACAAATAATTGACAGTGAGAAAGTTACAGAAAATCTACCGACAGAGCATAGATTCTTCCAGGTAGGTAACAAAGTCAAGATTGCCCAAAAGGTTGGAAATTACTCTTCGCTTTGGAGAGCTTATGATCATGATCATTGGGGAGGAGGGAGCTAGGATCCAAGGCAGAATCCCCACCCTCCAAACACATTGATTTTCTTCTGTCCCCCATCCTCTGCAGTTGCTGCTACAATGAGCCACTGCTACTGATCCCAGGGACTCGCATCCTTCAGAAGTTCAAGGTTGCAGTGGGCGAAACAGTTCAGAATGACGGCATAGATATTATTGGACGGACTTGCAGAAGCACTGGGTCTGTCTCCACTAGGATGGCTCCGGGCTTCCAAATAGGAGAAATATGAGAAAGGGCTGGAGGTGGCCTCTCCTTACCTGTCACGCTGCTGGGGAGAGTGTCTAGGTCGCCAGCTATTTTCCTGAGCTTGAATAAAATTTCTCTAGGGTGGGGATGTTTGCAGTTGATACAGAAGAGGCTGCCAAACGTCTTCCCAAAGCAGTTTTCTGTGTTTGCTGAAGAACCATGCACGTGGTCAAGAACTATGTCTCCTCTACACTATTTGGGTCCCACGTGACATGAAGCAAAAAGCTACCTGATGATAATTACATTTACCACTTTCCTGGCACCCTTCCCTGAACAATTGAAAAGAATTAAAAAATCACTAGGTGATCTCCTTGTGACAGAAATGTGTTATAATGAATTTGCTGAAGAAAGTGTGTTTTTAGAAAGCTTCTACTGTTCCTTAGCATTCATGCTGGTTTTTGGGGGTTTTTTGATTGTTTGTTTGTTTTAAACTTATCTTTATTGATTTCAGAGAGAGGAAAAGAGGGGCAGAGAGAGAGATAGAAACATCAATGATGAGAGAGTCATTGATTGGCTGCCTAGCTCGCAACCCGGGCCTGTGCCCTGACCAGGAATCGAACCCTGATCTCCTGGGTCCTAGGTTGATGCTCAACCGCTGAGCCATGTCCGGCCGGGCAGCATTCATGCTGTTTATAATCATCGGTTGATTTCTGATAAAACATATGATCGATATCACTGTCTTCAATTCTCCCCCCTTTGAGGTCTGAAGGGTGCTGATGCTGCACATGCTTGGTATGGAAGGGAGAGGCACTTCCCTCGGCCCGGATTCCTGAGCCCATGCTCACCCCAGCTGCTGTCCTCCTGACTGTGGAGCAGTCAAAAATAAACCTCCGCAGCACCCAAACATACTTGGGCCATATCTCAGGTGCAGGTGAAGCCTGGGGAATCCTGGAATCCGTGTGTCATGGCAACACATTCCTGAGCTCTGCCTCTCCCTGCCCTGGGTCACATTCCCTCCAGGATTGAGTAGCTGTGTAGGTCAGGCTCATGGGAATACAATCTGATATTATTTGTGTTCACCACAAAAAGGAAAAATAGGGAAATGTAATATGGACAAGCATTCCATAAGGCTTCCTTCTAAGTAAGCACATCATTTTATATCTTCCTGAAAGTCGTAATAGACACACAACCAAACTGTGACTATAAACTGAGATTGTTTCTTTCTTTTCTGTTCTTTTTTTTTTCTTTTCTCTTTTCAATAAACCTCCAGACTGTATGCACCCAAATTAGTGTTGGTTCCTTTCAAGGGGAGTTACAGGCACTTGGTGAGCGCTAGAAACACTGCTGGAATCAAGGTACAGGCTTCCATTGGGTGATGGCATACATCCTGGTGAGCACTGTTTAAAAATGCCTGTCTCTGGTCCTGACCGGTGGTTTGGCTCAATGGTTAGAGCGTCGGCCCTCAGACTGAAGGGTCCCGGGTTCAATTCCAGCCAAGGGCATGTACCTTGGTTGCAGGCTCCATCTCTTGCTGGGCCCGGACAGGGCACATTTGGGAAGCAACCAACCGATGTGCCTCTCTCACATCAATGTTTCTCTCTCTCTCTCTCTCTCTCTCTCCCTCCCCCTCCCCCTCCCTTCCACTGAGCCAAACCAGCTAGGGCACTCTCCCACCCTTCTGCTCTCTCTGAAAAGCAATGGAAAAAATATCCCTGGATGAAGATTTTTAAAAAAACAACTGCCTGTCTCTGGCTTCTCCCAGGAAATACCAATTGGCGTACGACTCTGGTGCCGCAGGAGGGCCCGGAGGCACCGGGGCCCCGGAATGGGAAACTGAGGGCCTTCCGTGGATTATTTGTCAGTGGCATCCGGGCCTGAGGTCACAGCTGGCCAGGGTGGGGGCCCGGGGCCCAGGCCACTGAGCTCATGGAGGCAAGGCCAAGGACAAGGAGTAGATCTCCATCACCAAGCTGGGCCACCTGGTCAAAGACATGAAGGTCAAGTCCCTGGAGGACACCTAGCTCTTCTCCATGCCCATCAAGGAATCTGAGCTCATTGACTTTTTCCTGGGGGCATCCCTGAAGGACAAGGTTTTGAAGATTATCCTGGTGCAACAGCAGGCCCGCACCAGTCAGAGAACCCAGTTCAAGGCATCTGTCACCACCATTGGGGACTACAGTGGACATTGGTCTGGGTGTTAAGCGCTCTAAAGAAGTAGCCACCTCCATGGGTGAGGCCATTATCCTGGCCAAGCTCTCTACTGCTCCTGTGTGGTGACGCCACTGAGAGAACAAGATCCCAAGCCCCACACTGTCCCTTGCAGTCCCTTGCAAGGTGACCGGCCGCTGTGGCTCTGTGCTGGTGCGCTAATCCCCACCCCCAGGGGCACTGGCATCGACTCAGCCCCTGTGCCCAAGAAGCTGCTGCTGATCCTTGTGCAAAAGCTTCATGGCCAGACAGACCTAGGTTCAAACCCTGGCTCTGCTACTTAGCAACTTGTGTAAACTTCAGCATGTAATCGATCCTTTCAGAGCCTATTTCCTCATCTGTAAAACAGAGCCAATACCTACTTCATGTAGTTGTAAAGGGGATTAGAGGTAGTGTGCGCTCAATGTCTGGCATAGTTGAGAAACACAATCAATCAGTTTGGTGTGTTAGGATGACATCCATACCTACTGTCCTCTCCCACCTCCCTCCTTTAGCTACACCGCCGACTGAGAGTAGAGAGGTAGGAAGGAGACCCATCCTTCACTTTGCTGAACCTGTGGCATCCACGTGTCACCACGTTTTCATAGACTCGAAATTCGTCACTGAAGGTCATCCTTATCTGACTGAACGCTTGATTTCGCAATCCTGGAGGCACCCTGCTCCCTGGCTGGGAAGAGCTTGGGCAATAATCTCGTTCTAGTGGAATGGCTGTTTTCTAAGCACCAGCATCTCAAGTGAATCCTCAGCCATGGCCATTACATTATCTGTTTCAACAGGCAAGAGATGGCTGGGATTTCTTTCATCACAAACCCCCTGCATTCCCAGCACTGTGCTGGGATGGTTGGCTCCTGTCAGAGACCGAGAAGCACCTTGAAGATGCCACCATGTGAAAGCCAAACATGCAAAAATCCCAATAAAAAACCGCCTGGGATGGCAGGGAAGATAATATCACAACGCAACTGAATTGCTCAAACCGAGCCTGTTTCTGCCTCCGATGCCTATCTGCTCCTGCTGGTTCTCAATTTTGTTTAGTCTCTAGACTGTGGATTTCTGACTCCACCCAGAATGGTTTTAAGTGCTGTGCTTGAGCCTTCAACACTAACCCTAAGACTACCCTCTAACTAAATAAGAGTCATCACACCATTTAGTGAGGAGCTCCTCTGAGCCAGAGATTATACTGCATGCTTTATACAGATTTGGTTCCTAGACTGTGGTCTAAACTTAATGTCCAAGTGAAAGCATCTGACACTGACCCAGCACAGCCTTAGTCTCTGACTTTGTCCAGCCCTCTCATTCCAGGAGCTGACCCCAAGGGATTGTGTTGCCCCAAAATATAAACTGGTCTATCAGTCAATCATTAAGTATGTAGTGAGCACCCACAGTTGGTTCAGCCTGTACTATGGACTACGGGAAATACCAAAGAAGTATTTGACATGATCCCAGCCTCTAAGGAACTCAAAATATTCTAAGGGAGAAAAGACCAGCTCATGTGAAGTCATTAAAGATAAATAAAAAACAGTGTAGAGTCCAGGTCTCAACTGTGCACAGCAGACTCTCCAATCTCTTAAGGAAAGCTTGCCTCAAAAGGTTGTATCCTCTCAAACAAAGTTGGTAGAAGAGTAAATCGGTAAAAATCTTTCAGTAGAGCTATTTGGTAGTATCTCTTAACATTTTTACATTACATAACCATTGACCCAATAATCCTACTGCTATTTAGAAATACTACAACAAATGCTCAAAGATAGATGTCCAAAGATGTTCACTGTAGCATTGCTTGTCATTGCAAAAGTTCCTTAATTATTGCACATCCACATAGTGGAGTACTATGCAGCTACTG